ATTACATATCTTTAAAATAAGTTAAAGTCAGTAAAGTAAGAATTTCGTACTTATTGTTCTTACTATTATTCTAAAAATCAGTCGTCAGATCTTTTATCCTTCAGTTCCATTTCAAATTTAACGATTTAAACAAATGGACCTTTTACTTCTTCCGATAGAAAAAAACAAGAAGTTTAGGGGGCAGGTTTAATGAACAGAGCAAAGTAGAAAACATACGAACAACGATTATTTCAATTTGCTGTAAGTTCTCTTTAACTGATTATGTCACTTAAAAGCATAGTTTTAGCTTATTGAATTGAAGGAATATAGGAGTTCAATCAAGAACTTATTAAATTATGTAAATTATGTTCATAGAAAGTGTCCACTGTATTGAACTTCTATCAATAAGTTTTATACAAATTTGTTTCTTTATATTTAATCAGTATTGTACACCTTCTTTTTGAGGTTAAAAGCGCAAAATTATAGAAGCAATATTTAAAACTATTGACTTTGAATTCAACATGTTTCTTTTTTCCTTTGCACTCGAATTTAGAAAATACATCTGACTCATTCTACGTCACCATAGTCTGATTATGGATACGTTATCGACTTATCTGATACAATACTATATGCATCCCGTATAACTATTTGTATTGTTTCGATGAAAACGTGTATGTACGAAGGAGGAAGATCCAATAATATAAACAAAATTTCTTAAAAAACTTTTATAATTAAGCGCATATGTACTGGTATCTCCTGCGAATCACCTATACATTACAATTACATCACGAGTAGATCATTAAACGAACTCTAGTAACAAAGAAAAGATGAAGCATAAAAAAAAAATATGCATGTAAACTGATTGCAAGTAAAATTGAAAGATCATTCGTAAAAAATACTTTGTTTCGATATATTTCAGATCAAGAAAAGAAAATAGATTCTTAACAAGAAATACTCTTGCTTGTATTCGATCGCTTAGTATATCAAAATGGATCTTAACTTCCTAATGTCTTTTCAAGCATATCATTAAAAAATCTCGTTTTAAGTTCTATTAGATTAAAAACAGAGGAGTCTAAAATTCCTAGCACTTATAGAGACTGAGTCTCCATATCAGTATAATCTAAAAAAACAGAGCTTGATTTTAGAAAGCTTGTATTTCAGGTTGGATGATGAAGTAGTACTAATCATTCTAATTTTACTATAGAATAAGACACGTTATTCATATTATTTTAAAAGAAAAATGTTTAAATAAAGCATACTTAAGGTGTGTATCACTGATGGGTCTCATTTTTCTGTGAAATGTGTGTGGAAACTGTTGAAGACGTATTCTATTGTCCAATTCGGTTCTTTCTTTTCTTGTAAGGCTTGAATACAATTGTTGAGCAACAACTCGCGTATGTCGGAGTAATGTTATATGCATATAATCCATCATGATCGAATTTGGAAGTCGTATATCGAGAATTTGATGTAGTATTGACATACCAAGATGACCATTTATGTTTTCACGTGTTTCTTCAGCTTTCATAGACTCATTTACATAACTATCGATAGTTCTCATAATTGGTGCTTCTTCAAAATAATATTGTCTTTTATTTGATATGTGGATCCCCCTAATTTTACAATACCAACATGAATAGTATCCATTGTTACCAATATGATTAAGGATTAACTTCATCGCAGGACAATCACAAATCACCCCAATAAAATAAATAAACCAGCGTTTAATACCACCTACTAAAATCCCTATATCAATAAAAATAAAAAAAATTAATATCTTGATAATGAGATTATTTAATTGTTTCAGCTATCATTTTTTTAGGCTACTGATCTTAGCCGTTTAGATTGACAATGAAAATCCTATGCATTTATTTCTATTAGTGGTTTCTTGCATGTGTATTTCCAATCAGAAAAGAAATAGGTTGACTATTTTAAGACTTTGAAACTTGTCTGAATTTTTCCTCTAAGTATAGATATAATTTAGTAAGATTCGTAAATAAATACACTGGCGGTAACAGAAGTAGATTTTTTCGCTATACCACACTTATTGAACATTGGGAAGCATAATTTTTTACGCTATACAGTGCATCATAAATCTCTGCATATTTGTATAAATAACTGATTCAACATTATACAATTTAGTGCAAACTAGATCTCGTACATGAGAAACGTTTTTATGAGACTTAATATCACGATACATATATTTTTTGTGAACATGGATTTTGTATAAATATATTTGGTATTCGCTATGCAATGATGTCTAATCAATATCAAATCAACTACTGATTCAGTTGTTACATTTTACACTTCTAGAATTCAAAATTTTAGTCAAATAGAAATCTATAATTTTGTTAACAATAAAAGAAAACAATATTTTTTTCCTTGTTGATATTGTTGTTTTATTCATTACAATTTTCTTTTTTTCATGCATATATTTTATAGAACTTTAGATCTTTTTTTTTCTTTTTCGAACGCGTGCAGAAATTATGATATGAATAATAGCTCTGAACGTGATTAAATTAGATAAAATAAAAGATGGTTTATGTTGCTGTTAATAGCCATATTGATCATGTATTATTATGATGTTATTATTAATTATATCATTTAGTTTTTCTAATTATTTTATTAATGAATACAATGGTATTGAAGCTTGTAAATAGATAAATATAAGCTGATATCATATTTATTAAAGATCGTTGCATAGCGAATACATAGATCATGCTATGATATATAGACTAGTATGGTGTATCGGAAAGTGAGATGAAGATGATGCTTCAAATTTTAAGAATATTACTATTCTTTTAAGTTCTTAATCGATCTTATTTTGCCGACAACACCTTGCTATAAGAAGTGATATTGTTTTTCGAATGTGATTTTCGTAATTGCAAGAGATATGTTCCAATACAATTAGAAAAAAACTGAAGCTTGCAGAATTTCGAAAAAAATATCTGGATCCCCTTTTTTCAGTTGGAAAGTAGTGATTTTCTAGATCTATACCGATTATGTAAAAATTTAAAGGTCACATCCGTAAATGATACTATCACTGTCTTTTCTTACAAGTATTTTCTTCAATGTCTGAAAGATTCAAAGAGTAACCGAGATCTCTTAATAAAATTTTCTTAAACATTATAAGAGGTCTTTATCCAATTTAATTTGATAATACAAAAAATTTAGCATACTTGGCTGACTCAATCATAGATATCATTTTAGCGAATCGAATCCGATCTTTGGGACTGCGAAGAAGCAATTAAAAAGATATGTCTATTTACAAAGGAAGCTAACGAATACAAAAAATTCTCCATCATGAGTCATTTATATGCTTAATATCATCGAAACTAATTTCAAGCTCGTAACTGTTTCCTTATAGGAAAAAACATGTATTTGAGTAACTGTTGTAGGTATTAGTTGAGGGTTCAAGATTGTGGAAAACACTGATAGAGGTGAACTAAAATAAAGTATAGACATCAAAGTAAATATCATAATTAAGTTTACTATATAATATGCTTTTTTTACTGTTAGCATCATGTATCACTTTTTGATATACATACCTGATAGTTTTAAATACTTCAGACGCTGTATACACTCATTTAGCCAACTATGAATTATCGGTTCTCGAGGAGCAATCCAAGCTGAGAGTGGTATCATGTTTTCGCGTTTATTTCGAAGATGAGGAGGTAATTCTACGATTGTACAAGACAACAACCATAACACTAGTTTATTGGATTTTCCCAATCCGATTCCGTCAAGATGAAGAATAACACTGATAAAAGATCGATGAGATACAGTTTGTTGAAATTCACGGTAAATTTTTTGAAATGGAATGTCATTTGTTTCATCATTTTGTGTGGTTATAATCTTTTGACGATATTGATTAATATCAACATAATGTCGTTCAATTATTTCACTGAAAATTTTTTCATAATCTGCATCAAATACATCAGCATATTGTTTAGTATTATTCGAGTTACATTTAAAACATGTATTTGATGATAATGCCATATTATTGTGACACAGCAAACAAACTCTTCTTTTTACGAAAACATTGTCAACTACAAAAAAAGAGTTTTGAATGTATAAATATTAATAAAAAAAACTCGATTGGATAAATATTGAGAATACGATTTATAGTCAGTAAATAAAATGAACTAATAAGTCAGTGAAACAATTATAAAGTCAGTCAATTTACTGATTGATCAGTCAATTCTATAAACTGTCATCTATACAATAATTAAGGTTATAAACAAATTTATGAAATAGTAAACAGAATTTATTAACAGTTGATTAAATTGGATGGTCAGAAAAAAGTGAAATGGTTTCAGAATAAATCTGTTTTGTTTGTCCTCTCTCTCTTCTCTTGAAGTTTTCTATATGTGTTCTGGCTTTTTTTAGCTATAGTGTTTTTGGCCTACATATTTCGTGTATAAGAACCATTGTTGCAATTCGTCTTATTGCTTATTGTTAAAAATCTAGGGAACGAAGTTTCTCGACTTCTCTGCTTGTTCTCTTTGTTTATTCTCATGGATAAAAAAAAATATTTATTGTTTCTTAAACAGAGACGAAATATTTGAGATTTCAAAATATTACATTTATATTGTAATGAAAGCCATACAAGTTACTCAATACGAAAACAATGGATCAGATAAAAACTTTACAAGAAGATCTTGGAATTATTGTTAGTAAAAGAGTCTTCAAAACAAGAAATCAATCTATTCGATTACAACAGACGAATTTCATAATGCTGTCGAAACGGAGGTATTAGTTCAAGATTAATAGTCGGAATATTTTACAATTCATACAGAAAATTAACAGAAGTTTTATTAAATACGCAAGAAAGCCTATTCCCGTAATCCTCAACATCTTGCAAGTATTCAACTCCTATATGATCGAGATAGTGATTCAATTTTACAATTAACTATAAGTAACTTTAGTGCTTAGCATTTGATATTTACACTGATGATTTTCATAGTTCTTTACTAACTATTTCACCTATTTTACTGATTACTGTGATCCTAGGCGTTATTATTTAATACTTATGAATAAATTCTAACAAAATAAAAAATAAAAAACAGTTTACCCTGCATGTGATCCAATAGCGCTTTAAGTGTTGTTGGAGCAGTGTTCGGTTGTGGAAGGACTGAACTAATTAATTGTAAAATCTTTGCTGAGTGTAATTTAGATATGTTTGCTTGGCGAAACAGATGCAAAAGATTTGTACAATATTCGTTTTGTGTGATATGAGTGTACTGATGAAGAAGTGCTGAATTTTGATCAGGTTCTGTTCGACGATTTCCATGGAACAAAGTCAAATCATCATCTGATTGATTATCAATTACATCATCAGTATCTGATTCATCGCTTTCATACTCTAATAGATCGAAGTCAATATCCATATTATTATGATTGTTTGCGTCATTATTTTGTGATACTATGCTTTCACATGAGCATAGTAGCTGATTATTTGAGGATTGATTAGTACATTCAGTTGTTGCCTCTGTAACCAAATAAGGTGACAATCCTTGAACAAGGTTAACAACATTTTGTTCACGAGATTTTTCTCTTTTTGATTTGAGTCGTTGTTGACATTGCTGTTGCCCGTTTTCTGTTGCTAATGTAATTTCAAGGTCCATTTGTTTCTAAAAGAGCAAAAGCTTCAACATTCTGGACGAATGATAATCCAAAAATACTCACAGCAGTTGGTGTTTAACAATTGAGAGCTTTCTATGCCTTTGGAATTTTATCTGAAAAAATATGGGTGTTCTGGAAAAATATTGAAAGGATAAATATCAATAGAAAGGAGGAGAAAATGCCGAAAGAAACAACATACGAGAGGAGAAATGTCGAAAAGTAAATATTGAAGTCAAAGAATATCGTAGCAAAAAAATATCGAAAAAGATGATGTCACTAGTGAATGTTGACTGTAATCACATCTATTTCATTGTTTTTTTTCTTATAATTCTACTAGTGTAGAAGTTTAACCAGTCGTAGTGGTGATGACTAATACTTGATATAAAGTAAATAGAATAATTAAACGAAGAACTATTATATAACTATAATTTTATTGTCATGGCTGAAACTGCTACACCTTCAACTGATGTAACTCGATGTATACCTCCAGCTATTTCATTTATAAATTCAAATAAAGAAAAATCTATACTCATAGCCGATTACTACGTTCTAAAAATGAATAAAACAACAACTCACAGTTGCTAAATAAAAAAGTGATGAATCAAGTTTTTTCATTATCTATATTTGGTCACTGTCGTAATATTAACATAAACTCACATTATAAATCATATTCTTTACTATTCACAGCTCTTCAAAATATCCATCAACCATTTTGTCCGTCGATATGTTTTTTGACATTTTTACGGCCAACCAAAATATGAGATCCGTTTTTCCTTTTAAACGACTAGCTTAGGGTATTAGTAAAAAACGGTCTAACCCACTCCAAGTCACTCCAACCCTCGTTGAATTCGAAATAATTGTCAATTGATAGAGCTTAGAATTCCTCATTCCAGGAGACCCCACCCTAAGCTATTTACTTTGAGAAATATTTGATGAAAGAATTCAATACTCATTTTATGGGTCCATTCCAACTCACTTAAAGTCCATCCTAACCGACTTCAAGCCGAAATCTCACAATATAATGAGTATCTCGTATTCACATGCATCGCATCAGAGGTCGCTACAGTCAATGTTGCGTCCTGATTTACTGAGGGTGGGTGTGGATGCCTGTGTAGATAAAGAAATAGAATAAACCCACACCCGCCCCCGATCGAACTCTCCTTTCAAAAGTTATTGTGTAAACGGCCCGACGGCCGGCCGGACACGCTGACCAATTCTGGAGTGTACTCACTTTTTGAGTACACAAAAATGGTTAAAAAAGAAATTACGATCAATTTCCAACAATCAACTAAAACTAACTAAAACTATATAATCGATTAAAAAGATTTAAATCAGCTGAACTTCATCATTCAGAATAAAAGATCTTATTAAAATCAGATTAAAATGCCAGTATTTAACCGATTTTTAACCTAAAAATAAGCAATTTCAGTCGAATTTTTGGCCTTTTTCTACATGGACAAACTATGGAAGTATGTAGCTTGCTTGTTGATATGTCATGATATCGTTTCTGACGTTCATACATCTTACCAAGACCTAACAGGGGTTACACCAAACTGGCAAAGAAAAGGACGTTCTAAAAACCTTAAATTTTATAAGAGTATTGCTCATATCAGAAAGCAAAGCCCAAGACTTTCTTGACTTTGTGGAAACGCAACTTTTGTTACCTGTCGACTAGTATACTTCATCATGAGAGTATGTTATTGATATTCAATAATAGAAATTCGCCGACATTAAGGATCGTTTCCGATGAAATACAATAACAAATAGTGATTCTATATCGAACGAATTACAATAAACAAAGACGGTACATCGCGATATTATGCGATGAACGTATACAGTCGGCATATTGTTACAGAAGTTGTACACAGTGACTGTTTATGGCAACTGTTTACATCGGCCGCAAATCATCGTAAAATGTCGTTTACGATCGCCATAAGCAATTACCGTATACTGCTCACGTACACTGTGTTTTACGACATTATATAATACCAGCGTATACGGTCGTCGTGTTGTCACGCTAGTCGTTTCCGACGATACTTTACGGTTAATGTTTACAATTGCCGTAGCATACCGTAAAGCATCAGGTACGACCATTGTAAACAGCCACCGCAAACGGCTGACGTATACGACGCCTTACATTGTTTTTCGACCAAAGTATACAGTCACCGTATTGTTACGGTAGTAGTTTACGATGAACTTTTACGGACACTGTGTACGATTGCCTTAATATGCTGTAAATCATCGTTTACTGCTGCTGTATATGACTAACGTAAACAGTTGCCGTTTTTCGCCGTATTTGGTTAGTGAACGGCCGTTTACTGCCGAGCGTGATTGACCTGGGTGGCCATGCAAAGTTTGATTGCACTGTATATTAGAAGATATGTGCTTTTCGTTTTTTTCTTCTGTTTTACATTCAAAATGATTAACTCATAATAAGAATTCACAGTGTAAATAACACATTCTGTAGCAGGCAGATCAAAAAGGCAATCTATGCGAGAAGCAAGATTAAGATATCCTCAATAGTAAGGAATATTCTTTCATCTTAACCAGACAAGCTTTTGTTATTATATTCTAATTGATTGTTTCAAATGTACTCATTTGTATAATTTTCATTAGTTGAGCGTATGGACTGCTTTACATGTGAACATAAGCCATGCAAAACTTCATGCTCTTGTCTATTGAAATAAAGTTATGTGATATGGATGCATCTTGAGGTCTGTGCATGTCAAGCACATGAAAAAATAAGTTCGATAGGGTTGCATGTACCGCATGCAACACTAAAATACATATTCATGCGCAACTTTTCATGTGTGTCAAAGCGAACGTGGTTGACTCTGCGACGCATTCACAAGCATGTCATATGGAAGTAGAACACGCATGTACACGCATTTTTTAAGCTTTCGCGTTTGACTGGATGGCGATTTATCAAGATAAATGAAGCCGTTAACTGGAACGATAAAACTGCAGTAAGTTGCTGGTACCTTGGAGGTTTTTTTATCGTAAAGAAAACTAACAGCGTTTTCTTCTCCAATAAAGTTAGAAAGTTTAAGGAAGTATTTTTAGAAAAACCCCTCTAGAATAAAATACGCATCTTTCCTATAGTCATATTTTTGGGATGTAACATACTCATTTACGCAGCCTATTACATTGAATACAAGGTAGTTTTCTCCAAATTTTAAGTTATTTTGATAGATTAGAACTTCAAACAAAAGAACTCAATGCTCAATCAAAGATCAAGAACTTGCTTCAATTCATAAACTTGAAAAAGAATTTTTTATTGATATACAAAACGTTTGCAGAATTATGTCTCTACTAATATCATTTTATTGGAATTTCGTTTACGGATTTTTGCCTATCATTATTTTTCTTTTGCAAAAATGAATAAAAATAAATTCGTCTGTATTGTTAATGATGCAAAAAGTAAGAATTATCTTATTTTAGTCTTTTCTCTTTATTATTGAAGATGTATTTCGTGTTAAGCAAGTGTGCATACAAAAGTTGTATTGCCACGTGTAACACTTATCTTGCATTGTAACAATAAAATTCCAATGTTGACATTTATAACCATGTATTTACTCTTCTATTCGTCTATTTGTTATCTTATGTTGCAAAATTTTCGCTTATCTTTTTGTCTCTTTGTTGTTATCTTCAAAGCTGAAACGAAATGGAGAAAAAGAAAACGTAAAGAAGGCCTTGAATACATTCAAGAAGAATAAATATTCTCATGAACTATCAATTATATATACTCAAAATTTTCGAATCAAGGTCAGATAGAAACATATGATATATTTATGAGTACTTTTACAAATCTACTTTGTCATTAGACTTTTCGCAGTACACTTCTTTCAATTATATGTATAAGAAAAAAATTGCATAACAAAGATAAAAGTTGATGACACATTGTCAATAAACACATTGATATAAAGAATGGCAAATTTAAAAAGAAATTCACTTTTATGACATATACTATTCGAAAACAAGCAACATATATGGCTAGCAACGTTCATTCGTCGTTTTTGGCATTACCTGTCGAGATTGTCTATCGTATTCTTGACAATCTCGAACCAAAAACAATTTTACTTTCACTTCGGAATGTGTGTGAACGGTTAAATAAGATTACTGATACATATCCTCGATATCAGGTAAATTTCACTTTTATCCTACAGTCAGATTTTTATCGTGCTAAAATATCACTCAGTTCACTCAATGATTCATTTCAATTATTTTATCTATTGATTTTGGAATAATAAAAACTGCAGGTTAATATTTTGACGTGGATGAATATTATCTAAAAAAAAATAATCATTACGTTATTCAAGCTATTTTCAAGGGCTTCATTGAGTTTCTGATTCTTTTCTTAGATATTTTACTAAACAGAAAACAAAGTTAATAGAATTTTGCATCGCATTTTTTGTTTTTCTCCCCTAGTTATAGAAAGGATTTCATCAGATGAATTGAATTGAAAGTCATAGGAGAGGCCAAGTTGATTTTCATGAATTATATCCTTCTGAAATTTCTGTAACTTAAGAATTCATTGAAGAAACGGAGTCATCAAAGCTAACGAAACACAGTTCTAAGAAGTCCCAGGCCCTAGAAAATTATAACAGCTATCAGAAATTGAGAACCTTTAAAAACGCTCTGAATTCATCATAGTTGTAGAATCGTTCAAAGAATGCCAGTAGAGCTTTATAGTCAAATGAAATGAATAAGAATTGTTTTGGGCGCATTTTTACTCTGACATTTATGGTAATCTCTAGATCAAGTGAATGAAATGTCACTTTTTTTTGGGAAATCGATGTTTGTTTGAAAGAAGGCTTATCTAAGAGAAGATGAATGATTTATTTGATTCATGGAACAATCGGTTGATACCAAGAACTTTTTGAGTTCATAATTCTTCTCATATAACTAGCAATTTCCTAGCTAAAGCGAATACAGACATTAAACAATAGTGAATAGGACATTTTGTACGAGATTTCAGATGACTTAATCAATCTCTCCACTA